AGAAAGAATCATACCTGGAGCTGCAGAGAAAATTGAAAGAACAGTCCAAATTGAGGCTTCTACTGTTGAGATTGAAGAGTGAGGGGTCAAGCTGCGCCTGACAGTGATGGACACACCCGGCTATGGTGATGCCATCAACTGCAGGGATTGCTTCAAGACCATCATCTCCTACATCGACGAGCAGTTTGAGCGGTACCTACATGACGAGAACGGCCTCAACTGACGGCACATCATGGACAACAGGGTACACTGCTGCTTCTATTTCATCTCGCCCTTTGGACACGGACTTAAGCCCTTAGATGTCGCGTTTATGAAGGCGATACACAACAAGGTCAATATTGTGCCTGTCATTGCAAAAGCTGATACCCTCACTCTGAAGGAACGGGAGCGTTTGAAGAAAAGGATTCTGGATGAAATTGAAGAACATAACATCAAAATCTATCACTTACCTGATTCAGAATCAGATGAAGATGAAGATTTTAAAGAGCAGACCAGACTTCTCAAGGCCAGTATCCCGTTCTCTGTGGTTGGATCCCATCAGCTGATAGAAGCCAAAGGCATGAAGGTCCGAGGCTGCCTCTATCCGTGGGGTGTCGTGGAGGTGGAGAACCCAGAACACAATGACTTTCTGAAGCTGAGGACAATGCTCATCACACACAAGCAGGACCTCCAGGAGGTGACCCAGGACCTTCACTATGAGAACTTCTGTTCTGAGAGGCTCACAAGAGGCAGCAGGAAGGTGGAAAATGAGGACGTGAATAAAGATCAGATCTTGCTGGAAAAGGAAGCTGAGCTCCGCTGCATGCAGGAGATGATCGTCAGGATGCAGGCACAGATGCAGCTGCAGATGCAGGGCAGAGACAGTGATGGTGCAGTTCACCGGCACCACTTGTGAGAAAACATTTTGCAAGATAAAGAAAGTATTCCAAATGAGAAATACAGCTCTGTGTTTTCAAGAAATTGTTGGAGAAGTGAGCATCCACACTTTACAGTGCCCGTGGCCCAAGAATTTAATTTTTTTAAAAAATTGTTGATGTGTTCTTTTGCATGAAGTACTTTTAGCATTTATATTCATTACTAGAGGGTAGACTTTATATTTTGTGAGTGAACTTTACCAAATGAAAAATAATCATGTAATGAGATATATGCTTATACTGAAGTAGCTTTCTTCTAAAAACAGGCTTTTACAGGTAAATTTTAGAAATTTCGAAATTCTTATACTAGGTCATTTTTTAAACCACTGGGCAGGGAGAACTTGTTACAGCCACTTTTTGTAGTGTTTTTCCACTACTACTGGTTATACTCTGCTATGGAAAAAGTCAGAGTATCCATGAGCTCCAGTTTTCATATTGCAACTAAGATTCCAATCAACACAATGGGAGTCAATAAACTATTTTTACTCCTCTAAGTTAAAAAAAAAAGACACGTCATTAATTCCTATATCCCCATTGTTGTCTCACCCCTCTCTCACGTTGTCATTTTACTGATGAAAAATCGAGTTGGCAAAATTCACAGAACCACCAGGTCTTGGCAGAATGGGGACGCCACCCAGCTGTCCAGCCTGCAGAACAATGCTTTTCAGAGTAATTCCTTAGCTGAAGGGCTCAGGCAGTCTCCAAGTGGGAATGCCTCATCATCTGATAGTTTTCTTACTTGAATTTGGAAGAATAAAATATTTTTCCATTTTTGTTTTATTTTCAGTAACATTTGTCTTTTGAAGAATACCCAAACAGGGACACCAACCAGAATAATGAATGTCAGTGAAGTGGTGTCTGGATTTTCACTGAAATCTTATACACTTTCTCACGTGGGTAAACTATGATTTCCTTAACAAGGTGACTGAACCATTAAATAACAGTTGTGGATGGTAGCTCTGATGGGCACCCATTTTATGTTCACCGATGTCATGGACCAATGACATGTCTTCTTCATGTGAAAAATTTTAATATTTCCTATATAATTAGAGTTTATATTTGAATTTAAGCTTAAAATAATCACTTTGGTGTTCCCAATTTAAAAATTTTTGAAAGATTTTGAGATAAATGAACTTTAATTAAGAAGTTATTTATTTAGAGTGATCTTAGGTTCACAGCAAAAATTGAGGGGAAGGTGTAGAGGTTTCCCATATACTCTCTACCCGCACATACCCACAGATTCCCCATTATGAACATCTCCCACCAGAACAGTGCATTTGTTATAATTGATCAACCTGCATTGACACATTATAATCACTCGAAGTCCATAGTTTACCTTATGATTCGTTCTTGGTATGTTCTGAAAGATTGAGATTCCCAGTAGTTTAACCCTAAACTAAGTGCGGGATTACTATACATGTGCAGCTTCTCTTTTCCTTAATGATGGGAGAATTCTAGAAGATCTGTGTTCTAATGATACACCCATTTACAGACCCGAGTTTCATAAAGCAATAGCATATTGTAGTAGAGATTTAGAGTCTGGACCTCTATCTATTTCCAGCTCTGTCACCCCCTAGTGGTATGACTTTGGATAGAAACTTACCTCTGATTGATCTTATCCCCTTGGAATGAAAAGGAGTATAACCTTATAAGGTCTAAGGTGCTTCCAGCTCCAAAAGCCATTATGAGGGACTGGAGATCACCAAGAGGAATCTCTCCTGATAACATCTGATGTGTAAAGGTAATTGTGATGTTATGTAGAATGAAATGAAATGAAGGCCATAAGTACACAGTTAAAAGGGAAAGATGGTGGCATAGGTAAACACCTGTACTTGCTGCCTCTCACAACCACAACTAAAATACAAAACAAATATCATCCAAAACCACAGGAAGGCTGGCTGAGTGGAAGTTCTACAACTAGAAGGAAAGAAATAAGCACATTGAGACTGGTACGGAGGTGCGGAGGTGTGCGCAAAATGGGCTGGCAACTGGGTGCGCTGTTGTTTTTTTCAATTGGGAGGGAGATACAAGCTCCCAATTGCTCTGAACTCCAGTTCTGGGTGAGACTCTGGAGACCTAGACTCATACGGGGAGAAACTGGACTGTTTGACATCAGGCCAGAAAGTGAGGGTGGCTTCCTCTCAGAGGTGCTTGCAGCAATCATTGTTTCTGTGGGGGGGAATGGGACACAGAGATGTGGAGATGCGGGAACCTTCCGGTGCAGGACTGACTGGCAGCCATTGCTGTTTGCTCCGCCATGGTGATTTTCTGAGACCCCACCCCACCCAAGCCGTGAGCAGTGGCTTTTGCATATGAATGGCCTGTCCTTTCGAAGCCTAACCTAACACACTGCAGCTGGGTCAGAGAGCTCCAAAGCTTCCAAAAGAAGGCCCAAGACTTGGCAGCAGCAGACTGCCTTGCTTCAGAGCTGGGCCTCATCTGGGCACTTCCAAACCCCAAACAAAGAGGAGGAATCTGCAGATCTCCCTGTAGCTCCTGCTGGGTGGCCTCAGGGAGTGGCTGACTGTGCACCTCCTTGGTGATCCAAGAGCCAGTGTACCCAGTGGTCAGTGTGAGACCATACCAGATTACAACTCTTCACATCCATAAGCTACACACTCAAAGGGCAGACTCGGTGAGCAACAAAGCCCCACTGAAGCAAGTCCTGCCATATAAGGGTGTCTCCAGCATAGCAGTTCTTCCATTGTAGACACAGCTGGTATTCACAGCCAATTGTTCTGGAAGTCAATTCCTCCTAGTGATACCAACAGCAATCAAGGCTTAACTACAACAAGACTGTGCACACAGCCCACAAATGGGTGCACCAAGAGTGTCCACCTCAGGTGTTGGGGAGGCTGATCCATTGGGCCCTATAGGGACACCTAGCACACAAGGCCACTCTATTAACACAGGGAAGGAGCCAAAATGTGGAGACAAAGAAACGTCATAAATGAAAGAAATGGAGGAAAGCAAATGACTGGATATAGAGTTCAAAACCACGGTTATAAGGTTACTCAAGAATCTTCTAGAAACCTCCGAGAAATTTAATGAGACCCTCAAGTATATGAAAAAGGACCAAGCAGAAATTAAGCGTACATTGACTGAAATAAAGAATAATATACAGAGATTCAACAGCAGACTAGAGGATCCCAAGAATCAAGCCAAAGATTTGAAATACAAAGAAGCAAAAAACACCCAACCAGAAAAGCAAAAAGAAAAAGGAATCCAAAAATATGAAGATAGTGTAAGGAGCCTCTGGGACAGCTTCAAGAGTACCAACATCCGAATTATGGGGGTGCCAGAGAAGAAAGAGAGCAAGATATTGAAAACCTATTTGAAGAAACAATGACAGAAAACTTACCCTACCTGGTGAAAGAAATAGACTTACAAGTCCAGGAAGCGCAGAGAACCCCAAAGAAGAGGAATCCAAAGAGGATCACACTAAGACACATCATAATTAAAATGCCAAGGGCAAAAGACAAAAAGAGAAATTAAAAGTAGCAAGAGAAAAACAGTTACCTATAAAAGAGTACCCATATAACTGTCAGCTTATTTCTCAACAAAAACTATGCAGGCCAGAAGGGAGTGGCAAGAAATATTCAAAGTGATGAATAGCAAGATGATACAACCAAGATTCCTCTACTCAGCAAAGCGATAATTTAGAATTGATGGTCAGATAAAGAGCTTCACAGATAAGAAAAAGCTAAAGGAGTTTATCAACACCAAACCAGTATTATATGAAATGCTGAAGGGTATTTTTTAAGAAGAGGAAGAAGAAGAAAAAGGTAAAGATAAAAATTATGAACAAAATGACAAAAAATACATATGTATCAACAAGTGAATCTAAAAATCAAGTGAATAAAAAATCTGATGAACAGAATAAACTGGTGAATATACTCAGGGTTATAGAAAGGGAGTGGACTGACAATTCTCCGGGGGAAGGGGGTGTGGGGGTGTAGGAAGAGATTGGACAAAAATCTTACACCTATGGACTAAGACAGTGGGGGAGGGGGAGTAAAGGCATAGGGTGGGGTGGAAACCAGGTGGAGGGGAACTATGGGGAGGAAAAAAGAACAAATGTAATAATTTGAACAATAAATATTTATTTAAAAAAAGGGAAATAGGATCAGAACTTATGAGTCAACTTGTAAATGATCTGCTCTCCTTGATAAAATCTGAAAAGTATCATCATCATAATTATTCTAATAACTGATGCCACTAATATAATTTTTAAAACCTAATCTCAAGCCTAAGTATTTAATTACCCTTTACAAATTAAATGTATAAGTATATATGTATATTTGTGTTCAACAAGAATACCTTAACAAATTTCTGGAAATTCAATTAACATATCCTTTGGGTATGTCAATTGAAATTGAATTGGCCTATGGATCCCTCTGTTGAAAAATGTATATGTTTTTTTGGGTACGGACATCAGTTAACTCGCCGTTGGGATCAAGAGCAAGGATAAGATAATGGTGGTGATGAAAATATAAAAAAATATCTCTTTTTTGAAGACTTGACCCCAAGGGAAGTGGTGATAAGAAAAAATTTGGTGTAGGGATTAAGAGTATTAAACACATGATCTAAACATTGTAAATGCAAAGTTTCTCTTAAAGAAAAACATTTATTCCTACTAAGGCACAGCCCAATAATAGAGTTAGGATGCATCTGCAATTCTCCTCTTCAACTTGATCCAGATGCCATTAGTAGGACGAAGAATCAGCTCTCCTGTCAGACCAAGTTCTTCTCTTTTCTGGTTGGATTCTACCCAAAAATGCCTCAGGATCCATGAAAGAACGACCTTTTCTTCCATCATGGCAAACCTTTGACCTTCAAATTAATGTAAATAATATGATCTTAATTACAGACATATCTCAAATGGGAGAAAGAGCAGGTACGATTAGAGGGAGCAAATGATGTTAGATTTTCACAGTAGGCCCTGGGAGAACCAGTATCACTCAGGATTCTTCCTAATAATAAAGATCATTGAGTGCCCTTCCGGCTCCCACCCAGTGCATCTGAATAGCTCTGAGGACAAGGAATCTAGCCCACGCAGCACCCAGGTGAATCTTGGACTCATTGAAGCATGAGAACCACGACTCTAGAACGCTTTCCTACTGGGCCTTTCATGTAGTTTACTATAGAGTTACCAGGCCTCATTGTACCAATGCCTGCATTTACATAAACACTAAAACCCCAGAGATACTAAAGCCAAAAGTGTGTATAATGCATGGCAATGTGCATTCATTTTGTTGAAGTACTACCGCTGGTCCTATGCTGAGCATTCTCTATTTTGGTTCTGAAAAAAGCAAGTCCTAAAAGCAATAAAAACAGGTTAAATAAACTAACTGTTATGAATAAGCTTTCTACCATATAAAGTATATTCTACTTCAATCCAAAGATCTACATTTTAAAACTCTACCATGAAACTGGTTATGCTTTATGTTATGGGCTGAAGGTATTCCCCCCAAATTCATCTGCTGAATTCTTAACCCTCAGTACCCCACAATGTGACTGCATTTGGGGATAGGGCCTTAAAAGAGGTGAGTAAAATAAAATGAGGTCCTTTGGATGGGCCCTAATCCAATCTGACTGGTGTCTTTATGAAAAGAAGAGATCAAGCCCTGGCTGGGTGGCTCAGTTGGTTGGTATGTCATCCCATTCAGCATAAGGTTGTGAGTTCAATTCCATCAGGGCATATACCTAGGTTGTGGGTTAGATTCCTGGTTGAGGTATGTATGGGAGGCAACCAATCAATGTTTCTCTGACATCAATGTTTTCCTCTCTCTCTAAATATCAATAAAAACATATCCTCGAGTGGGGATTAATTAAAAACACACACACCCACACACACAAACACAGAAAGAGGAATAAACTATGTGAAGACACAGGGAGAAGATATCTATCTACAAGCCAAGGAGAGAGGCCTCAGAAGAAACCAGCCCTGCAGACACCTTGATCTGGGACTTCTGGCCTCCAGAATTGTGAGAAAATAAAATTCTGTCATTTAAGCCACCCAGTCTGTGGTGCTTTGTTACAGCAGCCCTAGAAAACTGATATACTTTATGACAGTCATAGCAAAGTGGGAGAAAAAAATAAAACAAGTTTTTTAACAGACTTGTATCTGACACACCACATCTCAAAGACATTATTGTAAGAAACCCCTGTCATGTGCATCTGAAAGGTCAAACCGATTCTGATGGATACAAACCTATACAGTTTCTGGGTCCAGCAGAGAAGGGCACATATGCGTATGGATGGCGTCCCACCGAATTCTCGGGAAAGAACCGCTCTGGCTTGAACTCCTCAGGGTCTGGGAAGTACCGTGGATCTCTATGCAGTGCGTAGGGAACGAGGACTATTTGAGAGCCTTTCACAACCTTGTATCCCCCTGTCATGAGGCAGTCGATATGTCATGAGAATAGAGCAAGACAGACACAGAAAAGTCCACTCTCCCCACTACTCTCATGAAAGAATTCTCACCAACTTCACAATCTTCATTAAGACCACGGGCAATTATAGGCACAGAAGGAAAAATACGAAGGGTCTCCTTAATAACACACTCCAGATATTTAAGTTTCTTCAGGTCTTCTAAGGTAACAGGGCGATCAGAATTCCCTGATCAAAGTAAATACATGGAGTAAAATAAATGAAAGAAGTATTTGGGCTTGGCGGATAAGACATCAAAAAAGAATATATTATAACATCAATACACTGAATGTTAAATACCAACAGCAAAAGTAAAATTCTTAATAGTATAGATAATCAAAATAAAATGAGACAATAATGCTAAGTAAAAAATCCAGAAGCAAAAGGTCACATGTTCTACCATTAAATTTGGAGGAAGTACTCAGAGAAAATAAATCCATAGAGACAGAGTGTAAATGAGGTGCTGCCAGGGCTGGAGGAAGAGAAAATGGGGAGTGGCTGATTAATGGTGCAGGGTTTCCTTTTGGCTGCTGAAATGGGTTGGAATTAGAGGGAGGTGACAGTTGCATAACATTGTGAATGCATGAAACTATAAGTTTAAAACATTTAATTTTAAATTCTCAGAGCCTCCTCCAGAAGTGTATCTTCTCCTGGGTCAGACTCTTGGACTCTCCCCATAGCCTGGCCCCCGAAAGCCCTCCATTCCCACCTCAAGAAGAAACCAAGATGGCTTCCTGGACCTGCCAACAGGAGAAAAAAACATGGCAGGAAGCAAATGATCATATTGAGAAGGCAAAAAATGAGACAGACCAACTCAATGAACAAGCCAGTGAGAAGATTCTGAAGGCGGAAATATAACAAATTCTGCCAACCATTGTTTTTCAGAAGAGGTAGGAATTGATGGCCCAAATACCAACTTTTCGAGCAACAACATTTGCAACCATCTCTATGCCTGCACTGCTCGGGGAGACAGATGGAAAGGCACTGTGTTATTTAACCAGAGTTGAAGTACAGAATTGAAAAGTAATAAATCAGGTCACAGAACAGATTATCATTGCGATGAAAACCCTTCCTTGGAATATAGTTGCACCCAAAGAATTTCATCTGAGTGCAAGCTGTGATGCATTTTCAAAGTCCACGAAATATCTGGAAAGGATTTGATGAAATGTTCACATCCAATGCAGGATAAAGCCAGCAGGAAGAGGCCGAGAAACAAAAATCTGTTTTATTGCCATTCTGATGCAGGTGCAGATAAGTTGGGAGAGATCATCGAAGGTGGTATTTGCCAAAATCCAATTCATTACTACTTGCTTCCTGATATGGAAGATGAAGATGGGGAAGGAGAAGAGAAGATGATGATGGAGGGGGAGACGGAGAGGATTGAAAGCTATCAAGGAAGAAGCTGATGAGGATGAAGGAGACGGTGACTAAGGAACACTGATAGATTCCAACCTTCTTTTTAAAAGTTTCCTCCAGTCACTGGGAGCAAGTTACAGTCTGGGTTTTTTGTTTGTTTGTTTTTCTTTACTCTTAGGCTCAGTCATTCTGCTCTTGAAGTCTTTTCTCTCCCTTACATCCTGGTTCTCAACTTTTTTTGGGGGGAAATACCTGAATAGAATAGATTGGGAAAAGAATCTCTAACGCTTTCTCTTCCAAATTCACTTTTTTTTTTACTCTTAAAAGTATTTTTATTTTTTCCATTGATTTTTATTTATTTTTTTCTTCATTGATTAATGTATTACATATGTGTCCCTATCCCCCCCCACGCTGCCACTCATGCCCTCAGCCCCTTTTGTCTGTGTCTATTGGTTAGGCTAATATGCATGCACACAAGTCCAATTTCATTTTCATCCCTTCCTGACTCAACAAACACTATGTGGAATCAATGCCCCTGTGCTCCGTGGGAAAGAAAAACCTTCTGCTTACCTTGCTCCACTGGAGGCTGGAGGCTCAGCCCGCACAGTAGTGCACAGAATTCTAACTTTTTTCCTCCTTTCTCTGTACACTGAGCACACAGATTACACTGTGCCTCTGTGAATGTGGACAGTTAGCATTTACCAACATACACCTGTCTACTTTCTCTTGTATGGCACATCTTTTAAACTAAAAAAAAAATGGGTTTATAGAAGGTCAAAGGGTATATATGAGATGATTGGGTTAGGTAAGTAGGCATTTTGATAAAAAGGCTTCCACTTTGGTATGTTTAATTGTGATGTTTAATGGACTTCCTTGCAGTTTAATATGATACTTTTAAAATAAAATTATCTCCTAATAATGGCTAGGACCCTGACACTCAATGGAACAATAGCAGACCTGCAGAATCTTATTTGGAACCGTCATTCTCTATTGTAATTTTTCCCTGTTTATTTTATTTTATTTTTTTGGTTGTTTCACTGGAAAGAAAAGATAATGCTCAATTTTAAACATTAAAAGTGTACCAGTTGCTTTCCTATAATGAAACTAAATATGAACTTTACCCCAGGACAAAAAAAAAGGAATAAATACTTATATCTCAATATCAACTAAATGTAAAGTTTATCCCAGTAATCAAAAAAAAAAAAAGAGGAATACTTACATCTCAATATCCAAAGATCAGATGCTCAAAAAAGTTTTAGAACTAATACTGGGGATAGAAGAGAAGTGAGGCATAATTAGCAAAAGCATGAGAAGTGACAGAATAAAAATTCTAGTAAAATGGGGTCACTGATCATGTGAGATCCAAAAGCATTTGTGACACCTGCATTGGGCTAGAAATTGTAAAAAACACAAATGTGGGACAACATTCCAAAAGAACCTGGGTTTCTAGAACACCCAATTTACCCACCAGAGGCAATCTGAGAGAAATTCAACTTGATACAGGAAAAATGAAATGACGAGAGAAACAGAGCCAGAAGTTTAGATCATCTCCATTCTACAAAACAAAGTCTTCCCTCTTGATGTGAAAATCCAGTCCTCACACCATCTGGACATGAAATTACTTTTACAACTTCACCCCTCAATGGGTTTTAACAAACGTTCTGAATTCCACCTGTCCTTTAATGCTTACTATTATCTTCCAACTTCTCCACTTTGCCATTGTGCAACTGGAGCCTCTCTTTCTAGAATGTCTTCCACCCCCTCCTCTTTTCCTTTTATTCCTTCCCCACTTTGCACCAGAAAATTCCATCAGACACCACTTTGTTGGTTGGCCAACCCAACCTTTACCTTTCTCTTCCCAGCCATGGGCAGCCATATGACATGTGATTAATCTGATTAAACAAAGGATTAAGTTGATGGCTCAATGCAAAGTTCCTTTGTGGTAGGCTCATCATGACCCATAAATATATCAGTCCTAATCCCTAGAACCTTTAAATATTACTTTTTTGGGGGAAAGGTGCTTTTGAAGATTTTATCAAGGATCTTAAAATGGAGAGATGATCGTGGATTATCTAGGTGGGCCAAGAATGCCGTCACGAATGTCATGATAAGAGAGAGCAGAGGGAGATTTGACACCCCCCCCACAGAAGAGAAAGTGATGTGAAGATGGAGACAGAGATGTGAATGATGTGGCCATAAGCCAAGGTATGTTGGCAGTCACCAGAAGGAATGGATTCTCCCCTCAGGCTTCCAAAAAGTGCAGCCCTGCCAATACACTGATTTAACTCAGAGATACACCTCTGGGCCTTCTGGTTTCCAGAACTGTAAGAGAATAAATTTCTATTGGGCTCAGTCACCCAGGTTGCAGAATCGGTGACAGCAGTCAAAGGAGACTAATATTATCCTTCATCCTCCCCTCTCCTTTCTTATTGCCTTAAAGATAAACATGAGACCCAGAACAACAATCAAAAAAACAAAATCCACGATGATCAAAATGACAGAGACAGAAAAGAGCAAGCCCGGGATTCTCACAACATCCCTACAGGCATCAGCCTAAGACCCCTTACCTACAGGTTACTGGTGTACAAAAGAAATGTATGTCCCATCAGCTTAACCCACAGCAATCCTATATGAAACAGCTCTCCTTGACCCGCTAACCAGCTTCACCTCTCCTCTCTGCTCTCCGCTAGCCCCTTCTTCCTCATATCGCCCAAGCACACAGCCATGACTTGATACTTTATACACAGTGTCTGCTTCACCTATGAAGCGTGAGGTCCTTGAGGACAGTGACATTTATCAGTGTAGCCCCCGCATCTAGCCTGGTGCAGTCACAGGCCAAGCAATCAGCTAACGCCCGTAAACAAATGGATGAGGTCTTACAAAGGACATTAGCCCTGGAAGGTTCTCATATGGCAGCCTTCCTGCTTATTACAGTGTCTTTAGAACAGACCCAATTGCACATTCTTAATGAGCAAGAATGCCATTTGCTTCAGTGACTTGGGACCTTCCGTGTAAGTAATGAAAGGGCCATACATACCAAATACTTCGTCCAGTTCATTGTTCAATTTTTTCTGGACTTCTGGATAGCAACCCAGAAGGTACAGGGCCCAGTTTATTCCAGCTGCAGTTGTATCATGGCCCTACAAATGTAAGATAAAAAAAATAGCTTAGAAAGCAGAGTTCTATTGAGAAGGTTAGGGATGCTAACTCTATTTTGAATTGGCTCTGGATTTGACAGCTGTGACGTGACCCCAGACAGAACAAGTTAATTTTATACAGTATTTTACCTCCGTGGGGAACAAACCAATGAAACAATCCCTTCAAAGGGGATGCCTCTGGGTACAGGGACATTCAATACCACAGAGTCACATACTTGGTGAGAGTGGCTGGGCTGGGCTAACAGGAGGCATTCCGAGGGCACTCCATGCACTGGACTGTTTTTGAGGAAATAAAAGTGTGACTTTCCTGAGCCAAGTGGTCAGATCTGAACTTATTCACTGTCCCCATTTGTACAGTCAGCTTTACTCGGATACCAGGGAGCACACGGCTGGTACTGAGCAACAGTCTCCACATCAAGAATTTGATGAATTGCCCAATTTAAATCTTGCAGAGTTTGAGGCAAAATAACAAACATTTTGTAGAAATAAACTCAATTATTCTTCATAGAAAATCCCTGGGGGCCCGGCCGGCGTGGCTCAGTGCTTGAGCATCGACCTATGAACCAGGAGGTCATGGTTCGATTCCTGGTCACGACACATACTTGGGTTGTGGGCTCAATCCCCAGTAGGGGCATGTAGGAGGCAGCCAATCAATGATTTTCTCTCCTCATTGATGTTTCTGTCTCTCCCTCTCCCTTCAATAAAAATATATTCTCTGAAATCAATATATATATATATATATATACTCTCCATGGGATACTTGATCCTCCTATTCACATTTTAGAGATGACAAACTGAGCCCCCAAAAGATGCTAAATGACTTTCCCAGGGCCCAACAGCTTCATAGGAGGTGGAAGCAAGAGTAGGAACCTCAGAGTTTCTGATGACAAAGCAGAGTCCACACTCTTCACCTCGGGGAGCACGGGGGATCCGGGGTGAGGAGACTCCAGCTCCAATACTGAGGGTGATACCCTGGATGAACTTATTCTCTGTTTGTTCAGTGTCTTTAGGCATCAGCCCCTTATTTCCTGTCCTCATCTCACCAGGACACTCCACATGCAAAATGGTAAGTTCTTCAGAAAATAAAATGTATTTGAAAAATAAAAAATAATATTAAAAATCTTACTGGTCCATTTACCCTATGCAACACAAATGACCATTGTAATATTTCATTTCCTGGACAGAAGTCTCTGAAGGGCTTATTTTAGCTCCTAAGTGGAATTGTTGAGGACTTTTCTGCAATTTAAAAAAGTTTATAAGTCTCTGATGTGGCATGATTGTATTTTCTCACACTTGCAATTTCTTTACAGAAATGACTCTGAACTCCAGACAAAAGCTGGCCCATGTCACTCAGTTGTTTAGCAAAGTCATAGAGGAAGTGCTCTTGTAAAACTTTTTTAATAGCTTCTCTTGAATTTGAAAATGAATTTCCTGTTTTATTTTTGTCTGCGACCCAAAGGCAGCAAACACAACGCACAGAGCCAATAAGTGCATTGGCGGAACTGTGCAGGGCAAGAATCAGCCAGACCAGAGCATAAAAGGCCTGGCATAGATACAGAAGCATGGAACAGATTGTCTGTTCCATCTCAGAGGAGGGGGTGGGTGTGTGAGTGGGTGGGAAGAAATCAACCATGGTCACGCCAATCCAGTGCATGGGCACCCTGAGTCCCCTGCCCTGGCAGACGGCTCTTTGGAAGCTTGATTCGCACGTATCCAAACACGGGTGCACGGGCACATGGCCCAGGCAGTAGAAACTCAGACTTCCCCCTTCTCATATGCCTGCCCACAGACACAGTGGTCACGTGGTATGAGCAAACAGGTCCCCTGAGTCCGCCCCTCCAGCAGGCTGCTCCTGGGTGCCTCTGTGAACAGCTGCTGGACGCACTCTTATCCAACCAAGAGCTGAAGACCCCGGCTTCAGAAACTCATACTTCCCTCTCCTCGACTGCAGACTTCTGGTCACCGCATTCGCACCGATCCAGCACACAGGCACCGAGCCCCAAGATCCAGTGGCGGCTCACAGGTAACTCTCTGAGTCACCGCAAGGCACGACCCTGCCTCCAGCATCCAATCCCCACAGTAGCGCCGCTTCAGCATGCAAGGCCCCTGAGCCCACCACCCTAGCAGACAGCTCCTGGGTGCCTCTGTAAGCCACCCCTGGGCGCACGTATCGAACTAAGGTAGCACAGCTCCCCAAGCAGAAACTGGGACTTGTCCTCCAGGTCAGTTGCACATCACGATCTTGCAGCTCCAGCGTGTAGGTCCCACAAGCACACAGACCCAGCAGATGGCTCCTGGGCCCCTCTGTGAGCTGCCATTGGGTGTGTGCCTCTCCAACCAAGGGCGCACGGCTCCCTCAACAGGATCCACGATATGCCCCTCCCAGATGCCTACATCTGGACACCTTGGTGAGTTACTGAGGAACCTCCTCCCCCACAAGGTCATATTGTTTCAGCCACAGACTCCGAGATTCCCACAACCCCAGCTACTGACTCCTGAACCCTCTCGTGATTTAGAGAGAGAAATCACTTTGGCCACAGTCCCACTGCCTCAACCACAGACTGTAGGACAGCCGCCTTTGACCGTCATGGGCTCTAGAACCCTCCTAGTGAGTTATAGAATGACGCTACCCCAGCAAGAGTCACACAACACCAGCCAAAGTCATAGTACCTGAGCCTCAGGCCCCAAGACCAATTTCTCTCAAGCCCGTGGACTATGGGAACTCATAGTGAGCACATACCAGTGAGACCTCAGGCAACCCTTTCCACAAGAGCTGGAACCACAATCACATCCACAATAGCTTGGACAACGAAATTGGGGGTGAGTCACATTGCCAATCTGTGATGAGACTTCATCCACGAATAATAAATTAACATTCGCCGAAACCGGTTTGTTTCAGTGGATGGAGCGTCGGCCTGCGGACTGAAGGGTCCCAGGTTCGATTCCGGTCAAGGGCATGTACCTGGGTTGCGGGCACATCCCCAGTGGGGAGTGTGCAGGAGGCAGCTGATCGATGTTTCTCTCTCATCGATGTTTCTAACTCTCTATCTCTCTCCCTTCCTCTCTGTAAAAAATCAATAAAATATATTTAAAAAAAAAAAGAAATTAACATTCAAGACCCAACTACATCAAGAGAACCCAATAGTTCAAGTAAGGGCCTCCACTATATCACCAAACACAGGAGATCTGAGAGACTGCACCACTGGGTCCCCAAAATCACCAACTACATAGCACCACCTCCAAAAGAACCTGGGTAGCAAAGCAGTTGGATCTAAGACATAGAAACAATTAAAACATTAATTGTTTTAAAAAATAGAGAGACATAAAAACAATCCCCAAAGGAAAGAAAAAAAAATCACCAGAAAGGGAATTGAATGAAATGGAGGCAAGTAACTTGTCAGAGAAAGAATTCAGAGTAATGGTTATAAGGATGCTCAAACGTCTGGATGACAAATAACCACAACTCAATGAGAATTATAAGAAGAAGCATAAGAATGTCACCAACATGAAAAGGAATCAAGAGGAAATGAAGATTGACATTAGAAAACATAATAGAAAACTTCAATAGCAGACTAGAAGAGGCTGAGGACCACATCAGCGAATTAGAAGACAAGGTAGGAAAAAACACACAAACAGAGCAGCAACAGGAAAAGAAACTTGAAAAGCAGGCGGAGACCTCAGGGAGTTTTGGGACAACAAGAAAGGAAACAACATCTGCATAATAGGGGTGCCAGAAGGAGAGGAGGTGGAGAAAGGAATAGAAAACCAGTTTGAAGAAATAATCACAAAAAACTTCCCTGATGTTGGGAAGAAAAAAAATAACCATACAAATCTACAGCTTTTTCAGAAGAAGAAAGTTGATCTGGTATTTAATTAGGGTCTTAAACTTTGTAATTTCTAACTACAATATAATGACTCTTCATCATTTATAAGAAGCTACTTCAAAATGTGATCAGACTTTTAAAAAATGCTAAAAACATTTTTAAAGAATTCATATATATTATTTTTTTAAGTTAAAAAGAAATTGAGAACAGATCATCCCTTATACCAAGGATCCCAACATATTTTAAAATGTGGCTACAAATAATTCCTGCTATTTCATGTTATTTTTAATTTTACTATTAAATGCTTTAACATGTCTAACTATTAGTGCTGGCTATTTCTTCATCCTTAGCATTTTCAACTCCCAAGATTAAAAACAAACATTTTCTTGTTATATAACAGGAACTGTAATTTGTTTAATGATGATACCTGAGACTAACATGACAACACAAAATACCTCAAACATGAAAGTGTCCACTTCTTCTTGAATAGCCTCAAGGCTTAGCTTGTTCCCTTCATCATCCATCACATTTAAAAGCAGGTCGAGAAAAGCCTTGCATTTTCTGTTGGAGAGGGTCGTGCCCTTGTCATCACTTTTACCTTCTTCATCTCTCTTTATTTCATTGGCCCGTTCATTGATGACCTGTATGATTTAAATGATCACATGCTTTTGTGTGGAATTTGATATGGCCTAATAATCCATTTTCCTGTGAAAATATACTCACTTCTTTAATTGATTTTTTTCTAAGCCTTTCCTGTTCTGTCTCACTCAACAGGAACTTAGGTTGTTGCAAAAATATAGTAAAGCTTTCTGTGAACATTCTTAGGGTGTTATTTGATAACATTTTTAAAACAAATTTAATGTCAGACAAATAGATTGTTTCAAAGGACTATTTTTACAGCCTTTCCAACATGGGAATAGAGTAGTAGTCTCCTGAATAGGGCCCCAGCGAGTTCAAAGAGCTCATGAGAAAAAGTAGGGGTGGTGGAGAGAACACAATCATTATATAATAGATTAATTATAGATTACTCTAATTACGTGTTGTATTGGAAAAAAGAATCACCCTGTATGCTTGCCACTCCTTCTGCCTAGAATGCTCTTGCCTCAGAAACCAGCATGACTAGCTTCTTCCTTAGTTGTAGATCTCCGCTGCCCATTGTCACACTGTCAGGGTCACTGCTACTCTAGTCCCTAGCACTCACTCTCTTCCTAAGCCTATTTTACCATTTTTTTCCCCATTTCATTTACCACATGAAATTGTATTTGTTATTTAGTGACTTTCTCCTCCAACTTCAATGTAGCAGCAATTTTGTGTTTATTCATTGATATATTTCCAAACTTTAGAGCACTGCTTGGCAATTTAAAAATGTTCATCAGGTATGTGTTGAATGAATAAAAGAATGAAAGCCCCTGAGCTTAATTTGGTTACACATTTCAACTTTCTCCTCCTTTCAGGCAATTGTCCAAACAAGCTTCTGCTTTGAGTGAGCAGACCCCAAGTTCAGTGAAGACAAGCACCATGTCCTCTCTTTGATTCTTGGTGGAACCCCTAGTGCCTGGCACTCAGTATGCAATATTTGATATTATCATCCAATTTGGAATTCATTCATTATTGATACTGATATTAATGCATGAAATTTGAAGACAAGTGTAATTAGACCTATAAAATACAAACTGTTCACCGTTCACCTCTGGCCAGGCAATTATGCTATACTCCACTGAGGGCAGCTCACTCCAACATCTCAGTCATCTAACATCTAGGGACTCTAACAACTTGATCTGTTGTTGGAGGCAGTACCTCATGGTCAGTAAGCAATGCCATCATATTTTAAACTAAAATTTACAGCAAAGAACAAATATAATTACTTCAGCACTTTTATCAGTACATTTAAATTATAATGCATGTTTTCAATTAATGTTTGCCTTTTCATAAACATACTTTTAACACAAAGACAGACTATATCCAGAACATTACTATTTCCTTGTCATTAAAAATTAAATAATAATATCTAGTTAATTTTTATCTTTTTCCAGTTTAAGATACTGCTATAAATGCCCTTTGTCTTGGAAAACCATTGCCTAATCCAAACATTTTGCAGAAGATTCTTATATCACAGATCCTTGTATCTTTATTATCTTAGCATAGCACCCATTTTAATAGACTATAATAGCTCATATCACATTTTGTAATTATTTATTTATAGACAACCTCCCCTTTAGACTAACATCCCCCAGTAGGGAAGATTAATGACTGGGTATGTTAACAAACATAGGAGTCATGCACTTTTAAATGTTCTAGAAAGTATAGTGGTAGGGGTTGCACAACATTGTTAATGCCCCTAATGCCACTGAATGGCACACTTAAAATGTCCATTATGATAAATTTTATGTTATTTATGTGTGATCACAATAAAAAAAAATGAGAACTTACATTGGTGGTAAAATTATGTAAGATCTTTAGGTTCCTTTTGTGGTCCCATCCTTCCTTAAACAAAAGGTACAAAACGTCATGCCAGAACCAAATCGTCTTCATTCTTCGATGTAGCAAATCACTCATCCTATAAACAGGATGCAAATGTATCAGCTGATATATCAAAATGTGCATTGCTTGTGTACCTATTTTGTGCCTGGTCTCAATGAGGGTAATATGTGGCAACGATGATAATTCATCTTAGCAGCTACCAAGAGCTCCATGCTTTATGCTCAACAATGAAGGCATGGGTTATTACACATCCAAGGAAGCTTAAAAATTAAATGGGTCTTTTAGAGGAATAAAGAATCCATTACAAAATAATCTTACTAGATGGCCATCTGACCTCTCCTTCTATTTCTCCAGGAAGAGTTCCAGACCTCCCCGAGCTGCCTGTAGCTCTTATACCACAGGGTGGGATGAAATCTGCCTGTTTAATGTCCACGCATTTGCTTGATCACTCCTCTGGCTATCCTATTCTCCAGTAAAGTGTCCCTCTGTCACATCCCTGTCCCGAGTCCCTCCCTCAACATTTCCAGTGATGGAGCAGAAAGACCTTGACATGATCTCCTCCTTTGAGAGCAGCTTACAGGTCAATTCTGCAGAGCGGCCTTTCCTGGTCACTCAATCTGTGGGCCCTATTGCTGTTTTCTTCTTGAATATCAATCAACTTTATTTTTTTTCTAAGCAATTATTATAGTTTATAAGTTTATACTTATTTGTTTTGATGCTTGTCTCCCTGTTATTCTGTTCTGTGGACCACTATAAAACTAGTCAGTATCTTGTGTAAAGAATGGCAGATTATATATGCTAATATGTGTTAAAATGAAATGGGCAGTGGACTCAAAGACAGAATTCCTGAAATCAAACCCTGGCCCTGCCTCTTTTTTAAAAAATATATTTTATTGATTTCTTACAGAGAGGAAGGGAGAGGGATAGAGAGTCAGAAGCATCGATGAGAGAGAAACATCGATCAGCTGCCTCCTGCACACTCCCCACTGGGGATGTGCCTGCAACCAAGGTAAATGCCTTTGACCGGAATCGAACCTGGAACCCTTGAGTCCACAGGCCGACGCTCTATCCATTGAGCCAAACCGGTTAGGGCGGCCCTGCCTCTTAATAGTTAAATAATCTCAAGCCATTTTTCAAAGTAAATATTTCTATTTTAATAAAAAAATAATACACACTTAGTGTAGAAAATATGGGAAGAGAGAATTAATAACAACACAAAAAACAAGAGAAGCACATAACACAAAACAATAATCACAGCTAACTTTATGGAATAATATCTACAAGTTTTTTTAATGAATAATTTTTTATACCTAGTTATCATGCTAAAAATATTTTTATCTTTATTTTATCAATAAGCATCATTATGTAATTTCTCAATATATCATAAAATAATCATTTAAAATTATACCATAGCCTGGGTGTGCCATAATTTACACAATAAATCCTCTACTGTGAAAATACATGAGTAAGTTATTAGGTTGATTTTTAGTGCAATAATTCATTGTGAAACAATGAAAAAGATACAACATAGACAAAAAATTATTAGCGATATTTTTTAAAGCTTAAATCTGTAACAATTTTAAAAATAATTAGAAGGGCTCTGTTTACCTATAAACTGCACGAACATACTCAGAATCATCATTAGTCTGAGCATCAATATTCTTGCCCATAGCTGTTTCTGCAAAATATGGGTGAGAAGCAACCATTAAATTCATATACATGCCTTCTGTTTATGCTCCAGTGGCAAACACTTCAAAAAAGACATAAATTCTTATATATTTTAGAATTGTTCCTTTCCCTCTTTCACTCTTGCACCTTTTGTTTCTCCTACTCCCTGTTCCTACTCCTGTTTCCCTCTGACCTTCCTGGCAGGTTGGCTCTGTTCCAAGCTCAAGCAGTGGGTACTGCTTCTCAGGAGCCTAATTTAGCAGAAGGACCACCCCAAAGAAGCCAATATCCTTTCTAACCCCTTCATTTGCATCCCCAGTGAAATGTTATTTTCTATTTAGGCCATTGTATGTTTACACCGTAGCTCTAGAAACAAATCTATGAGACTTACCACAGATTATATCTAAGGCACAAAGAGTGATGTAAAAAAAGCAGTTAAATTTTTCTCCATCAACATGTTTTTCAAGCTTATTAACCAATATGTTGGCTTGTTCATTCATGACACCTAAGAAGTCTTCCAGAATGGTAAAATGGAAAGTGGGTGTTAACATTTTTCTCCTGGAGCGCCATTTGTTTCCAGTACTAGAAATACAAGACATGGTTACAAAGAAGAGAAAAGCAACATCCAAAACAAATAAAGCTTAGTCAAGACAAATTCTTCTTAATTACAAATTCCCAAATGCTTTGGTCAGAATGTCAAGGGGAGATTCATACGCAGTTACAGGATATGCATATTTTAGATATCCCTCTATATTACTAATATTTAAAAGAGCACTCATCAAAATTGAAAATTTTAAGAATTTTTCTAAATTTCTAAGTTCTGAGTTTCCAAAAGTTAGAAATTTCCCCCCTTTATCCAACCTTAGCCCACTGAAGATCAAGGAGCTCCATGAATCTACTTGATCTCTAACCTCTTCAAAGTCTCCAAGTCTCCACCGAAGTCCTGCTTTCTCTTTCTCAGTTGATGGGGTCCTGTTGCTGGATGACAGCTCAAGGACTGAGGTTACTGTGCTCAGCTTACTTTTCTGAGGATGACTGCCTTTTTCATTGAATTTTCAAGATTTCCCTGCTCAAAACTTCCCTGTGCCATACTCCATTTCTACATTGGGACTTTCTAACTCTCCATGGAACACTGGTGATCATCATTATTGAATACCATGGCTGGAGATTACTCTACACCCTGGGTTCCTGTCTCTCACAGGCCCATTATCACCCAACCTTTCATCTTCTCCCTACTACCTGACAGCACATTCTTGCTACAGGAAAACTACCCTGTGTCAATGCCTGACATAAGTTACGCACAAGACAGCTTTACCAATTTACACTGACTTACCTGGTAAGAAGTCCTAGGCCAAGCCATGGCTGTAGGAATGTGTACAGATAAGACTTGTCAATTTGCTTTGAGCTAGTTAAAATTACCTTAGAAAGAGAGAAAGGAAAAATGAGAGATAGAGATATGAACGCAACCATAATTATAAGAATACTGGGATAGAACACAACTACTTTCCAAAGTAACATTTCATAACAATTACTTCTTTGTGTTTCATTTTCATTACCATGACTCAAAGAAATTCAAATAGAGTTTGGAGCATACAACTGTCACTCACTCTTGGAGACTAGCTGGAGTTGACTGAAAGGAAAATGTCCAAGATAATTCCCTGAGTCCTGCCATGAATTAGGAGCCAAGTGGAGTTGTTTATTGAGGGTAGGAGTGAGGGAAGAGAAGGTCGGTGAATCAAAGGATGACCACATTTAGGGAGGTGGAAATTACAAGTTCATGATCAGGTATGTTGATTTGGAGGCATTCATGTTGACATAGTCTGAAAGCAGGTATGAAGCTCAGGAAAAAGGCTTATACTAGGTACACATTTGAATGTCTCCAGGATATAAGTAGCATTGGGAACCATGGGTATAATTAGGTTGCCTGGAGCCAAAGTAGAGGAAAAGGGATGAGCATATGCACAAAATGCTTCTCAGGATCTTGCTGCAGTTCCCTACTTTGGACAGATCTCTATCCACATGTACTAAGCCCACTTACACTAGGCCAGCAATGGCTGACATCCCATGTGTGGCCCTCTCCCTATCTCCTCTGGAACAGTGCATTGGGCAGTGTGGTACCAGAGACACTCTAAGAGTTTGACCACAATGAGGAAGAAAGATGTATCCAAGCCTAGCAACCCTAGGAAATTCTGCTGTTAATTTTTCTCCATGAAGAGAAAGTCTGTTTTTCCCATTTTTACTTCCTGAACCAAATCCTTTGTCATCAAAGCATAAGATAATACCCTCAATGTCATGATAATAAGTAAAAGAAAGGTAAACAATTCTTAGGACTAATTTCAATAGCGTGAATTAACATCTTCCCCATCAATATCAGATTAGTGTTCTCTTTTAAAAAATTAACTTGAAATAATAAAAGTATAATGGATACTCTGAGCCTCTTAAGAGAAACACATATATTTTATTAGTCTTATATTTTTGTAATCTTAAAACAGTCCCTGGAAGATTATATAAGCTCACCTTGTAGAATAATCTATTTATGGTTCTGTTCAATTGAAGACTTCTCAAAAAATGGAGGACAAATATATTACTTGATACCAAATGTGTATAGACATGTAGCAGCTGCTACTCTTCCCAGAACTCAGACTCTATCTGGAAAGCATTAAAGGGCACCTTCACGCCAAAACCGGTTTGGCTCAGTGGATAGAGCGTCGGCCTGCGGACTGAAAGGTCCCAGGTTCGATTCCGGTCAAGGGCATGTACCTGGGTTGCGGGCACATCCCCCGTTGGAGATGTGCAGGAGGCAGTTGATCGATGTTTCTCTCTCGTCGATGTTTCTAACTCTCTATCTCTCTCCCTTCCTCTCTGTAAAAAATCAATAAAATATAAAAAAAAGGGGCACCTTCACAACCTTAGATATTTAATGGTATCCTTATTGTATTGAATTCAATTAAATATAAGGACATATATTTGCTGTTTATTCTGATGAGATTCTCACACCATCAAATATACAGAGAAACATTAATCATAGTCACCATCTACTCACCTCTATAGTTTCGGCTTTATCCATGGCTATTACTGGTACTGTGCCAAGCCAGAGTTTTAGCATTGGCACATGTCTGTATTCTTCACTGTAATGAATCAGCTGCTGGAAAAACTCTAGGAGAAAATATTTAATTTTAATTAAGTTCCTTACTATGTCGTTGGCTTTTTTACTCTTTTTTACTTTAGGCAACTCACTTAATATCTCCCAGATCTTTCATATCTTAAAGCTAAACCACACAGTCGTCCTTACTAAATATTTAATCAATGAATTATGAGGCTAATTTAATTATGAATGATATATATTAACAACCTGGTTAACTGAGAAATGCCAAGCACTGTGGATGTTTGTGGTGGCCTTATGACATGCCTTCCCCAAGAACACCGAGGTTGTTCAGTTTCTCCTGACCTGCACAGGCTACTCTTCTATAGAAAGGGATACCTGTCCCAACTCTCCAGCCCTGGTAGATAGATGCTTCCCTTTCACCCTCTCTAAAACAGTATTGCAGTTCCTCAACAAATTGAGATTAGAGCTACTATATGATCCAGCAATTCCTCTTCTGGGTATTTATCTGAAGAACGTGAAAACACTAATTCAAAAAGATATATGCACCCCGATGATAACTGTAGCATTACTTACAATAGCCAGGATATGGAAGCAACCTTAGGTGTCCATTATTGGATGAATGGATAAAGAAGATGTGATAATATTGGCCCAGCTGGCATGGCTCAGTGTTTGAGCGTTGATCTGATCAGGACATATGCCCAGGTTGCAGGCCCAACCCCAGTGTGGGGAATGCAGAAGGCAGCCAATCGATGATTCTCTCTCATCACTGATGTTTCTCTCTCTCTCCCAGTCCCTTCCACTCCGAAATTAATAAAGAATATATATATTTTAAAAGATAAAATATTGTCATTTGTGATTTGAATGGATATTAAGGGTACTATGCTAAGTGAAATAAGTCAGACAGACATGGATAAAAACTGTCTGATTTAACTCATGTAAAATATAATACAAAAAGTAATAAATGAACAAATATAACAATATAAAAAAACAAATTCAAAGATATAGACAACAGAATAGTGGTTACAGAGGAGAAAGAGAGTGGAGAGAGGGCAAAGTAGGTAAATGGGGTTAAACGAATGGTAATAGATGGAAACTAGACTTTTGGTTGTGAGCACCCAAAAGAGTATACAGACATCAAATTATACTACTGTACACCTGAAATTTAGATAATTTTATTAACCAATGTGACCTCAAGGAAAAAAAATAATTAAAAAAAACTCTTGTTTTACTAATCCTTCAACTTCTCAAATGTCTCAGGGCCTCTATAGAACCTCTTCTCTTTGTAGAAAACTCTTATTCCTACTGCTTTTTGTCTAATAAAACTGACTTATTTTTCAAGTGTCATCTTAAATGTGATTTTGCTGCAAAGTCTTCTGTGATATTGTGAACAAGATTTCTGGTAATATAACTTCCCAGATTGGCTCCCATGTCTAGTACAGGCACCAGATCTCAGTATTTCTAAATACTGTCCTACAATAAAATAAGCCAATTTTCCTTGGAGAAATCATTGATTTTAGGGCCGAGGCAGAGAAAAATACAAGAAGAGTGGAATATATTATGGTACCGGAAAATAAGGAAGTGCTCAAAAAGTGATGGGGCCATGTTGAAACACCAAGCAGCCAACCTGAAAAGCTCCTAATGCTCCAAACAGGGACAATTTGTGCAATAGAATAAGTAATGATAGAATTAGTTTGTATCACTTCTCTAGTCAATATCTTATAGTTTTCAGTGTACAGGACTTGCACCTCCTTGGTTAAATTTATCCCTAGGTGTTTTATTCCTTTTGATGCAATTGTAAATGGGACTGTTTTCTTAATTTCTCTTCCTGGTAGTCCATTGTTAGCATAAAGAAATGCAAGTGATTTTTGTATATTGATTCTATATCCTGCAACTATACTAAATTTATTTATTAATTCTAACATGTCGTTTGCATTCTTTTTCTTGCTTAAATGTTCTCACATGTCGTTTGCATTCTTTTTCTTGCTTAAATGTTCTCACTGGGACCTATAGTACTATGTTGAATAAAATGGTGAGAGTGAGCATCTTGTCTTCCTGATCTTAGAGGGAAAGCTTTCAACATCACATATGGTGTCACTGCCAAAAATGCATAACCTCAATGAAACTGAAAAAACAACAGACAAATCCAAACTGAGAGTGATTCTACCAAATACCCGTTTCAGAAAATGTGTCAAGGTCTTGATGTGTATGGAAAGACTGATAAACGATCACAGATTAGAAAAGATTAATATTGAAGAACATAACACAAGGAAGCACAACTCCTATATGCCAGGTGAGATTTTGAATTGAGTCATGGAACAGAAAAAAAAAAAACAACACTAGGAAATGTTGTAAAATTGAAATAAGGGCTGTAGTATTGTTAAGAACATTGGACAAATAATAATTTTCTAACTTTGATAATGATACTAATTCTGTGAAATAACACCATCAGAAGAGGCTTGCTGGTATATGGCATATGTGAACTCTATATTATTTTTACAACTTTCCTGTAGTTTTAGTATTATTTGAATAAATAAACATTTATAAAGACAGGGAGTTTTATTATTCTGAAGCTGAAGAATAAAAAGTAAGCTGGAGGAAGATTTAACAATATTTTGTTAGTAGAAGAGAAACACATACACACGATATCAATATACTTTATAAATCCCTAATATGCAAAGTATCCCCTTGGGAGTTTTACCAACTGGGAGTTCCATCACTTGCTATGACATGTGCTGACCACCAGGGGACAATGCAGAACAAAGGAAGGCTGAGGCAGGTGGCCGGCAGGTGCTAGGGACCCTTCCATGCATTAATTTCATCACTGGGCCTCTAGTATCTACACTAATCTACACTAATAAAAGAGAAAAATGGTAATTGGCGTACGACCGCTACCCTTCCCATTGGTTAATCAGCATATCCTTATGCAAATTAACTGTCAGCCAAGATGGCGGCCAGCAGCCAGGCAGCTGGAAGCGAACGTGAGGCTTGCTTGCTCCATTGACTGCACACTCCAACGTTCCCCGCCTGACTTGCCGGACTCTGAGCTGGCAGTTTGAAACATTCTAACAAATATAGCCGGCTGGGATCTCAGAGCTGAAGTTATACATTGTTTCGATTATAGAACGGCAAACAAACCAGCAGCGGAAGCCTCAGAGCTAGAGCCAGAGCTAAAGCTGGCCCAGAAGAAAAAAAAAAAGAAAAAAAGGAGTGGTTGGGAGCTTCCGTCAAAACCGCCAGCCTGAAAGCAGCCCTCAGCCCCTCACCCAGACTGGCCAGGCACCCCAGTGGGGACCCCCACCCTGAAGGGTGTGTGACCAGCTGCAAACAGCCATCATCTCCTCATCCAGGCTGGCCAGGCACCCCAGTGGGGACCCCCACCCTGATCCAGGACACCCTTCAGGGCAAACCAGCCGGCCCCCAGGCCTCTATCCTATATAGTAAAAGGGTAATATGCCTCCTAGCACCAGACTCAGCGGAGCCGCGAGGCCTCCTGGCACCAGATCAGCATGACAGGGTGCAGCGCCCAAACCCCCTGATCGCCCTGCGGCTCTGTGTGTGACAGGGTGTGGCATCCCAACCCCCTGATCGGCCCTGCTCTGTGTGTGACAGGGGGTGGCGCCCCAACCCCCCCCCCCCACGGGCCCTGCTCTGTGTGGGACGGGGGAGAGCCATAACCTCTCCATCGGGCCTGGCCTGAGTGTGAAAGTGGGGGCGCCCCAACCCCCTGATGGGCCCTGGTCTGTGGGTGATAAAGGGCGGGGCCCCAACCCCCTGATCCGCCCTGCTGGGGTGTGTGAAAAGGGGGGGGGGGCCCTAAACTCCCCTACCGGGCCCTATTCTGTGAGTGAAAGGGGGGGAAGCTCCCCCAACCCCCTGATGGGCCCTGCTTTTTGCCTGACGGGGGGGGGGGGGGGGGGGGGGG